ACACAGACACAGACACAGACACAGACACAGACAGAGACACAGACAGACACACAGACAGACACACAGACACACACACACACACACACACACACACACACACACACACACACAGACACACACAGAGACACACACACACAGACACACACACACACAGACACACACACACACAGACACGCACACAGACACACACACACAGACACACACACAGACACACACACACACACAGACACACACACAGACACACACACACACAGACAGGCACACACAGACAGACACACACAGACAGACACACACACACACACACACACAGACACACACACACACACACACCAACACACCATGCCAGCCCTTCCATTACAAAGGGGGTGAACGGACGGGCCCATGGGCTGAGGGATAGATAGACAGATCGACGAGTGGATGGATAGATCGATAGATGGATCGATGGACACATAGGTAGATAGAGTGGTGGAGGAAATTCGTGTATGTGATGCGTATGTGCTCGGCATGCTTACCTTGTCGTTGCAAGCTCCTGCTGCACATGAACTAGAGAAGTGTGGTGCCGTGCTTTCCTTCCAAGGCCAACAAGAAGCGTACCCAAGCTTTCCGTCCAGGCAGCGTCGTGGACCCAGTGCTTATCTGGGGTCTGTACGCCGCTTGCTCCCGTGCGTGGGCTTTTAACGTTCGCATGGTTTCTGGTTGCCGGCTGTCATCCACGACGTCAGAAGAAGTCTTGGCCCAACCGCTCGGCCATGTCGACACCGAGGTCCCCTTTGAGGATTGGGCTGTCTTTGCCGATGGCCGCGTGCTCGGCGTTTCTCCCACCCGGATGCACGGACAAGACACTTCAAGTGAGGCATGAAAAGGTCGCTGTCCGAGCTTGGCATCAAGCCACGATCTTGGAAGCAAAAGAGTTGGCTCTTGGGGTTTACTTTCAGCACTTCCAGGATTAGGCTGCGTGTACTGGCTTTAACGAGTCTCAAATTCCGGGTACGCAAAGGTAAGGGCGGCTTCGCGATCCGAGTTTGTCCTTAACTGCAAAAAGCACGATGCAGGCGTAGGAGTGCATCCGAGCAGAACACTGCTTGGGCCAGCTCCTTCTGCTACACAATGCAAAGCCTAGGGCGATCTGTCTTGCTTGGGCTGCTTCAGGATTGGGCGACAGGTCTGAACAGCCGGCGGCTTGTACATATTGCTGAGCAAGCACAAGGGGACAAACACGTCTCTAGTGCTTGAAAATCCGATGTCATCCACAGCCATTGAAGATGATAAAATATTCACGTGAGAGATGAACGGAGCGCCGGGAAGAAGCATGGAGAGGTCGTAGTTGCAAGTTAGTGCGTGGGCGGGCTGGTAGGGACTGCGGGGTTGCCCTTGGCTCAAGCCTCGAAAGCAGGGACAACTAGCCATGATGAAGCCTAGATCTCAGATGCTTAGATGTAGCATTGGCGACGACGGAAGTCAGAGGTCACAGTCGAAGTCGCACATCTCCGAAGAATCGGCAATCGGACTTGTCCTTCGTTTCTGGGCTCTGGGTCACTCGCTGATGATGGCACCCCTCCAGCTTGGACGTGACCGGAGGCCATCCCTAGACGGCCCGGTCAGTGTCAGTCCCTCTCTTGAAAGCGCGTTGAAAGAGAATTCAGGCTGGATAGAGCGGGGTATTGAATCGGCAGTACCTTGTCGAAGTCTTGAGTGCCACTGATGTCCATCTCAGCGCTGTAACACCTGGGTGCCCCCCCCCTCCCAAACCCACGACATTGTGCATGCGCTGCTGCTCGTGAGGCGTCGCTCCATCACAGGGGCGCCTTGGCGAAGTTCTTGAACTGGCGGGATGATCCGTGTAAGGTCAAGGTTGAGCTCTGCTGCCCCCAGAGACCAGGAGCCGAGATCCTTCGTTGAAGAAAACTCGGAAAGTTCATCAAGCCAGATCCGGAGAAAATGTAGTTGCTGCGGCACAAGCAATTTCAGACCACGTGTCGCTTGAAATCGAGGTTGATATAACCCGTGAAGGTGTCAGCACATTGGGATGGGGTTTCGTATGGTGGAGCTAGAACTTTGTTGATTGTGGTGGCCATGTCTGACCGTCGAAATCGAACATGAAACCTCTGACGAATCTGTGCAGAAGGGTTTGGCGAGAGGAGCGAACTCCGCCAAGACAAAGCAGTCTGCAGCAAATGAAGGGGCAGATCAGAGCTCCGGACTTTATGCAGGATCCTTCCATTGGCCGGACATGTTCGGAAGAGGCATCAAACAGTGAAGCGGCTTAGAAAGGCTTTTCCATCTTTTCCCCAGTAGCTGTCAGTGGTCCTCTTCGCCATCTGTGGAACGGAAGGCCTTTTGAAAGAGCTAGATGACGAGCACATGAGATTTTGCAGCAAGGTGCTATTGATAGCCGTACTCGGGACTGTGATTTTCCACCAGCTCGTACCGACCCCAGAATCCTTCTGCAGGTATTGCTCTCATGTTTCAAAGATCTTGATCTACATGAGGCAGCTTTTGCAGGCGGTGCCATCAGACAGGCGAACTGCAGTGTCCTCTCGTCACGTCTGCGAGGGTAGAACGGGTTTGCATCCACAGGACCGCCGGGGGCTGCGACGTCACGCCGCTCGTGCAGCGCAGGCTTCAGTGTCTGACCTGCTGACTCTGGCCGCCCCGGCCCAGTTCGGTTTGAACCTGGCCAGCCACCAGCAGCCAATGTGCATGAAGCCACCAGGCAGACACAGAGTCTGATGACAGCAAGTTCGAAGAGCAGGCAGCGTATGCTGTAGCATCGGTAGAGTTGAGAACATGAAGTGGTATTCATGTGCATGCCAGCTGGTCAAGCCGTTTGGAGCATGCGCTGCAAGTTCGAAGCACCCCGGGTCCTCGACATGATCACCACATTGGAAGATCATTGGCAATGTGCCCAAGCTGACTGACTGCACGAAATGTAGCCGAAGCAGGTTGCAACTAGCTTATGCGTGCACGGCACGCTCGGTACCATTTCCGGAGTCCGCTGCGCCGCCGGGCATACTCGCCCGCCTGCCCTCTGAGCTTCGAGGATGCAGGCATTGCAACGGTCCGATCTCGGAGTTTGATTGGCGATCCTGGGTGGTTTGCAAGGACTCACAGAATTTCGGAGCAGAGGCCTCCAAGGCTTCCCTGCAGTGTTGAAACGGTCGCTTTATGACTTCCAGGCGGGGCGACATCCATGATTGGGGTGCGAAGGTGTTTGAAGCAGTGATCCACTCAAAGGTTCACGAGGTCGACTTGCAAGGGAATGAGCTGCACCTCAGCGAGCTGAAGCCGAAAGATTCTCATTGCTTCCCGGCAGGGCAGCGGGAGGGTTCCAAGGTAAGTATTTCAGAAATCTATACTGCCTACCTGTCACGACAACCCTTTGCCCGGCAACCCTTTTCCTTGGTTGCGCTCACAAATGGTGCCACATTTTCTCGACTTGGTGGAAGGAGACAAGAGTCGCACATACACACACATATTGAAAAATATATAGTAAATATATATACACACCTATATCTATCTATCTATCTATCTATCTATCTGTCTATCTATGTATCTATCTATCTATCTATCTATCTATCTATCTATAGAGTACGCGCGAACACATAAACATCTATATATATATATATATATATAAACATCTATATATATATATATATACATCTATATATATATATATGTATATACACATACACATACACGTGTAAACCTGCATCTACGTGTGTGCACAGCAGCCCGAGTGACAATCAGAGGTTGTGTGCCTGATGGTGGCAGATGGCACTTACATTTTCGGCTTTACAAGGAAGGCTCGGACATGGTATGGGTACCACTGCCGTGAAGTTGGTTTTGATGAACGGGTCCAGTTCTGCCATCAGTGATCGCTCGAGGACTGGACACTCTGGAAGCGGTAGCACTGCTAGCACGCTGCTTGGGCCGCTCTCGGCGAACTTTGAGATTCGCTGGTAGCAAGGAGATGAAAGTGTGGGGGTTTCATGATCTGCTCAGGAAGTACTGACCTGCTTTTATTCGTGCAGGACCGCTGTGCTGTCACGGTGCAGCAGATGTCGTGTGCTCAGCTTTCACCGGCAGAGCTTCAACATGCGCTTCACCATCCCGTGCCTGAGCTGAGCCCAGAGAGGGAAGTCCCTGAGCCCAAATCCTGAGCCTCCATGCATTCTGAAGAGAGCCGTGGGCTTGTCAAGAAGCAACGAGGGCGAGAGAGTTGCCGAAGAGGGCATGGGAAGCGGAGCCGATCAGATGTCCCAGGATTGCGAGAGTCGAGTTCGCGTCTCGGACCTGGCGGTGAAGCCTTCACCTGTGGGTCTGGGAGACCTGCTTGGCAATCGCTTCAATGTTGTGCTCCGCATGGTGCCCGAGCAGGCTCCCGTGAATTTGCACAAGTCAAAGCTGTCACGGGTGTGTGCGCTGCGAGGTAGGAGCATGATGAGTAGCCGCCGGAAACAGTTCGGTTCATGACTCAACAGCCCAGTCCGCAAATGTGCTGAGAAGGCTCTGCTCTCGCCAAGCTCAGCAGCTCAAGAAGCTTGCAGATCCCTCGTCGAGTCGGGCTTTCTGAATTATTTCGGCCCGCAGAGGCCTGGGGAACAAGCTAGTCTGTCGGAGACCCTATGTGTTTTTCATTCCACATACTGTCGGCAATCCCTTGAGTTCTAGCATGCCAGACAAGTTCGGTAGGAGGTGACAGTGGGATTTCGCAAGGTTCGGATCGCAGGTCATCCATTCATTCCATGACCTTCGGACAGCAATGGTAGCGTCCGGTGTCCTTGGAAAGCAGCTATCCTTCAAGGTTGCATGCTCGGGAATGGGGCTCAGGTGGGAGCAGCCATCTTGCGTCACGAGTTCGACCGTGCAGTGAGCCTGGACCTCATGCAAGAAACAGAACAGCAGGGACGTACTGAAATCATAGCAGTCTTCGGTATAGTTCTGCTAAGGATTGTTACTGGGCGACGTCGAGCTCCTGGGCGGGGACGCCGCAAGAGCAGATGCTATGACTTGGGGTACCTGGGATGAGGAGATGCAGGCCTCTTGGATCCTGCTGATGTGTGCGTGTTTCCGTTCTCAAACGGATTGGGGAGCCTCGGAGGCCCCAAAACCCCAAGCCTCGGCAGCCTCAACCCAGGCAGCGCAGCAAAGTCTTCTGACGGCAATCAGAGCTGGTGGCGATGTTGTTCTGGCAGCCGAGGAGCTCTCCTAGTCCCCAGAAACCGTAAGAGTCGGGTGAGTCTTGGCCTGAAGGCTGCATTCCAACGAGTTCCCCCAGTTCCTGGCTACCACGTCGAGCGAGGTGGGCATGGTGGGCCTTCTCTGTGAGACTGCTGTAGTCCACGTTTCACAGGCTTGCTGCGCTGCTTGGCTCGTGGGCTCACTGCGGAGGAAGCTCTTTTGCGTTTACCACGGCAGGTGCTGATGCTCTTCGTGACTTGGCGGGAACAGACGGTGCGGGTTTGACTCGGCAAGAGAAGATCTGAAGGTAAAGTCTGCCCAGAGCCTCATCTTCAACAAGGCCACGGGGATCTAGGTCTGCTTGGCAGGCGAAGCGGCTTGGCAGCCTGCATCTTTCCAGGTCTTGTCTCACCGAGCTGCCCTGGGGCCTCTTCCCGCAGAGGGCGACCTTGTCTTGCAGGGAGGCCGAAATCCGAGAGTGACAGAGAGAGAGAGAAGCCTCGCGACGGCCTGAGCCTGCACTTGGACCCCGTGAGGATTGGACGGAGAAGAGCCGGTACCCGTGGAGCTGACGAAACTTGCATCCGTCGAGCCGGAGAGTGCCTGGACCTCAGCTTTGAGACTAAGTCGGTTTTGTCTCTTTAGTTGTCAGGTCGTCCTTCCACTGCCTGGCAGCTCCGTTCGCTATCCGTGCCTAGCTCGCAACCTAGAGTCTGAAACAGTTGCATCGCAGGCAGCAGAGCAGCTGCTTCTCTGGTACCCGCCCAATGATGATGCCTGGCAGCAGGAGATCTCTACAAGAGGTCTACGAGGAAGCTTCCGAGCAATTCCTTCAAGTCTCGCTTGAGGCTTTCTCAAGCAGGCATGTGATGCTTGCTGATGCGGACTGGCAGTCTCGCCACACCGAGATGTTTGTTTTGCAGGCTTCCCCTGCGGTTGAAGCTTCCCGGCGTCTACAGACCTGCTATTGCCTGGGCCTTGTACGGTAAGAGGAGACGGAATCTTGTGCCTGGGGCCGTACCATGAGGGGAAGAGAGTGAATGTTTGTACGGCCATGGAAAAGACGCCCCTCGTGTTCTCGAACCTCGCACCTTATCTTCCCAGAATTGCTTGCCAAGAAGGCAGGCTATGTGTCAAATGCAATGGCACGTGAGAATCTGGGACAGTATTGTTCTCGGGCCTGAGAGAACCTAATTAAGTGCGTGAAACAGAAGGGCCCCCATGGAAAGTAAGCAGTCAAGAAATAGAAGGAGAAAGAGGGTAAGGCAGGAGTGAGATGGGAGAGAGGCGTGATTACGTCGATCGGCCAGCAAATGTGACCAGACATTCGCAGGGCAGCTGCAACACTCTGTCCTCAAGCATGCTGGACCGGCTTTGCTCTCTCGACTCCGAGTCACACGAGTTTTGGCTCGAGCAATAGCTTGGCTGAGCCGGGTGCCTTCTGCGATGATCCTTCCATGATAGGCGCCTCATGGCAAATGCCATGGAGGTCGGGCTGCGACATGTAGGGGTAGTCTGCAGACTGACGTCACATGCTGCAGGTTGACGATGGTGACGTTGATGATGACGACTGGGACCCTCACGTAGCTCCCGGTATTGTTCTCCGTCCACACATCGTCCAGTGGAATGTCGCACTAGGACCCGCCGTTTGCCCATGTCTCAGCGTAAGAGGTTTGCCGAGCCCTGGTGAGGGCCGAATGTGCATCATGCCAGGAACAGAAAAGGTCGACAACCTGGATGTAGATCCGCTGCACGATCCGGAAGCGGACGATCAAGACGAGAAGTGGGTTGCAGAAGCTCGGCCTCATGTTATCGCAGCTGGCGACGGCTAGTGATAGTGATAACTACCGTGCCGTGTCGTGTAATGCTGGAGTCTGAAGGGCATGTCACGCGACAGACTGCGATTTGGCATCGAGGATCAGTTGCTGCAGCCCGACACACGAAATGTGAAGGGCACAGACGCCGTCCTGAACTGCCCGGGCTGCTTCACGCCTGTTTGCTGACTCCCCAGTCTCTTGCATATCGGCCCCCAGCTTCACCGATGCCATCTGTTCCTCCGCAGGCTACCAGTGCCAGCGCCATGAGCAGTTCACTCGCCAGTGGCGGGCCTCCGAAGTGCGAAACTGCAAAGTGGACAAATCCGTTGCGCTCTCCATGGCAAAGGCCAGGCCTTCCGCTGAACATGGAGCCTAACGCAATTCCACCCCTGCTTTGGTGCCAGGACGACCCTGCAAAATACTTCGCTCTTCGCTGTGAGACCTGCAACGCCGATGTTGGGCTCCAGGACATGGAAGGGATCTTTCACCTCTTTCATGTCTTAGAAAGCCTTGCTTAAGAGCTCAGCGAGCCGACCGAGCCCTCGAAGAGATCCTCGCAGTGGCCGACGCGGATGACGATGGACAGTGATGGCTGCACATGGACACCCCTTACTCGGACACCCGTACGTGCCGAAAAGCCGTGGGATTTGCAGAATGCGCATCAGACACTTAGCTCTGCCAGGGTTGGGGACACAGGAAACTATGTCTGCACAACACGGCGCAAGCGTGGAATGCTGAGGTCCACTATCTATACTATCGAATGAAGTTCCGAAGGTTACATGCGAGCAATTGCACTCCAGAACCGGCACTGGTTTTGCTTCGCAACTGGTTCTGCACGGGTTTGGTGGCATGTTTCTGCAGGTCCGCAGCAGAGGCTCAGGCGTCGGTGTTCCCATAGCAGCTTCTAGAGGAAGCAGACAGGTGCATGTGTTCGATTTGTTTCATTCAGGGATCTCGCAAGAGCAGATGAACACAGCCACCTGATGAAACCTTTCTATGATGCATGCCTGGACGACGTTTGTGACGGATCAGCATGATAAGATAAAGGTATGTTTCGGGAGGGAAACAGATGTCGAGCCATAGCACTTTGCCCAAACTGACTCAGGGAAGGCTCGGGGCTTGTGTCTACCGGAACAAGCATGGCAGTCCCTTTCTGACGCAAGTCTGGCAGCCATGCGCGCTTGCTTGCCATGGTGGTTGGCATGTGTCCACCAAACACTGCAGCTGTCGATTGCGGCAGCAGAGACGTGCATCGCTCTGCATGACATGATCTATTGCCAATCTGAAATATATTATCCCCGAGGAATCCAGCCAATCATGTTGAACTTCACGCTCAATGCGTTCTGGCTGAGTTCATCTCTTTGCAGATGGGCCTAGTAGACGGACAGCCGCTTTAGAGGATTCGTGGCATTTTACCGCTACACAGCAATCCATAGGACTGTAGGGGAAGGGAGTTGAAGAACAGCTATGGTTCCCGGAAGCTTGTCCAAGAAGTTTTATGGAAAGTAAGTAACTGCTCGAAATCCTTGCGGTGCACTCCGACTTCAAGTTGAACCTTGTTGACTCAGGTGACTTTCTCCCCGCCAATCTTCATCGCTGACTTGTCCGTGTATGCGAGACACACCCTCGACAGCCATGAAGTGAAGAACGACTTGCCTGTGCATGCTAATGTTGTGGTGGCAGAATCATTCTTGAGCTTCCCTACTCAGCGTGACACTTTGCGTGGCAAGTTGGTTTGCAACTTTCACGACCCGGCCAGTGACATTATCGTCATGCCACAATCCACACTTCAACAAAACAGCTACCGGCTGTCTGCCAACCTCATTGCCAAACAGATAAACCCACAAAGTTCCGAAACACCTGCGCAGAGGATAAACATCAACAGACCAGGAGTTGTGGCATTCGACATCACAGAAGACATGGTCCGAAGTGGAGAGCAGTCCCTGGAGATCCATGCGAATAATTACAAAAATGGCAGTATGGAGATCTTCCTGTTTCCAGCTGATGGGAACGGATGTATGGACTTCGAGATTAGCAAGCGGCCATCTGTGTCAAAGTGTGTCAGCGTGCGGCAGCTCGCAGACTGCTTATCCTCACAGAAAATTTCAGACATCGTTTCATACAAGTTGCCCAGGTCCATCCGATTCACCGTCAAGAGCGAGGGACGTGTGGTTTTGAGCCGCTGGTCAGCTTTGCCACTGTCCGAGGGTCTGTGGTTTGTGCTCTTGATGCCACATGGCTCTGACAGTTTCGTGACGTACGAAGTGGCCATGCGCGGGGCGCGGCCTAGGCCAACCTTGAGCTCGTGTGCTTTGGCTATGTGGATCATCCCCGTGGTGGCTGTCCTAGTTTTCCAGGCTCTCGATCTACACCTGAAACGAACCTGGCATGCCCGGCGCGGATCTCCAAGTTCACGACGCCCCTTTCTTCGTCTGGTCAGAGAGTGGTGCCTGCTGGATGCCGATTTCCGGACGTTTCTGTGGCAGATGGCTGATGAGGGCATCAGGCGTGGATCGCATGCTGCAATTATTTGCGTCTCTGCGGGTTGCTTCTTTCTGGCTGCCATTCAAATGGCCATGGGCATATGGGCCGGCCAAAGACAAGCCGGCTCGCTGGACATCTGCCGCTACAACTTCGAATGCTACGTTCCTTTCGCCCTTGACCTACCCTTCAACAACATGCTTTCCCACATTCCCTACTTTGTCACTGGCGTTCTTTCTATCATCATTGTCACGCACACAGACTACAACCTTACAATTCAGGCAGAAACAGACGGTGAACCCAGACCACCTGACCTGCGATTCTTTTATGCACTGTCGTGGTGCTTGGTGCTGGAAGGCTTCGGCAGTACCTGTTACCACGTCTGTCCCACATCGTATCTGTTTCAGTTCGACTCCGCAATGATGTTTGTCATTGCCGTGCTTTCCACAGTCTGCTTGCTGGATGGTAGTGACGAGGAGCAGAGAGACCCGGTCTCCAGCATGCCAAGCATGCGAGCCTCAGAGCGCTTCTTTACGCCAGTCGTGCTCATGCTATTGATCACGGTGCCGATGTGGACCATCAGTTTCGTCGGTACTTGGTTTGATTTCGTGGTACCGGAATCAGTTCAAGGCGCTATCTCGTATAATCTGTACTGCGGAGCCGTTCTGCTTTGGTTCTTGTTCATTCTCTTAAAGGAGGCTTGGCAGCAAGCTTGGTTTCGTGCCGGTCGTTGTCTACTTGCCCGTCTGGTGTTTCCCACTTTGGAAGCTGGACTTAAAATTTTACAACCCCCCCCCCCTAGTTGAACAGGCCCTTCCAGCAAGGTTCAACACGCATTTCCTGATTATGGAGAGTCTGGCTCTTTTTCCTGCTGTGGGCGGAGCAAGGCGCTGGCTGTGACTCGTGTACTTACATGGGGTCTGGTTGCTGTGATGCTTTTCCTTCCCGCGGCCCGCATCCAGTTTGGAGGTATGTCTAACGTTCTTTTGTTCCTCTCTCTGCTGGTGATGGTGTTCGTCATTGGGAGACAGATGTTGAAACGTGATAGAAGTCGTCGGGGCAGTTTTTCACTTGATGATTCAGTGCGGTGGTTGAGCAAATTTGGGCTGTTGTTCCTGTTTCTGCTGACGAGCTTCGTGGCACTCCACTTCTTCAATACAACGATGACCGATGTGCTGGTCTCTGCAGCTGAGAGTAGAACCTTCAACAAAGACTGCATCTTCATGGGAACCTTCGACGCCCATGACGTCTGGCACATGTCGATGCTTGTCCGCAGATGAGAAGTTTTATCCAAACATGCATGCAGCAGGAGCCAGTTTGCACTGTGTACAGTCTTGCACCGTGCTGCTGCGATCCGCGCCGCAAGCAATTTGCGCATGGGCTCTAAAGTTCAAAAGCCATGCTGGAGTCCGGTAGCAACAGCTGAGGTCAGCCATCTCGCTTGCCCTGTGGGTTCAAGTGTTGCTTGGGGTGCGTCTCAGAATATGGAGACGCAACAGCCAACAGCACGGACGCACGAGCCAGGTTGCTCTTTCGGTCATCTCATCGCAAGCAGTACCGACTTGACGCCAGCTCTCAAAAAAGCTGCTGCAGAGAAGGCCGTGTCAGAGGCAAGAGATTAGATAGCTTGCATAGTCCGAATGCTGCAAGCACTCGGGGCCGAAAAGCCGAGGTCTTTCCTCGGGACATTTCTTGGCACGCCTTGGCAGCAGGCCAAGCAGCAACGCAGGCATCCGCTCAGCGCGGCCGCCTGCTGCTGACGGACGTCGACCGTTTGGAAGCGCGAGGCTCGAGGCCTCTAAAACTCTGAGGCCTCAAGGGAGTCCTAGAGCTCCAAAGAGCTCCAAAGCGCTCCAAAGCGGTCCGGTTTGCCTCGCGAAGCGCCCGAGCCATTGCAGTGTCGACCAGCTGTGACCAGGCCCAGAGCAGACGCCGGAAACCAGGACGTTTGGTGCTCGGATTTCACAGTGCAGGCACGAAGATGTTCCCGGCATAGATGTTGCCTTGTCATGAGCCAGGTCAAGCCCAGTTGGCTGCAATGTCGATGCTTCCGAGGGATCCTTGGTATTGTCGCTTGGCTTGTCTTGGTGAATCGGATTCTGTTTCAGTGTTGCTGTCTTGCGAAATCTCCCCAAGGTCGTGCATTCTGCCGCCCTCCTCGTACTTCACAGTGGCCTTCAGAGAACTCACGCGCCAGACGCAGACATCGGCAGTGCTTCAAGGTGATAAATTGACCACTTTCGACTTCGCGTTTCGAATCTACAACGAGCCTGCAGGCTCAATCTAGAGATGGACGTTGGGCATTGGATCGACTCTTGCAGGTGGATGCTTCCTTCGCACAGCTCTCTCCACAGGAGTCCGAGTGCACCTTTGGTGTCAGTGGTCTTTGAGACTCTCCCCGTGATTCCTCCAAGAGAGGTGTCCTCAGGACCTGGCAGCTCTGCAGCTGCGGTTGAGCCAGACCGAGGCTTCTTCAAGGAGCCTCGGGGTCGGAGGCGAAGGGAGGGGCGATGAATGGACCGTCGCCCTTTGGTGCACAGGAAGCCCTTGGAAAGGCTGCTGGGAAGCATCCAGAAATCGATGGAGTCACCGCCCCAGAGCTCTGGCAATTCGCAAGCAAAGCGGGACAAACGATGAAGTTCGCAGGGCACGAATGGAAATGGCCACCAAGGAGATTGAGGCCGTTCTTCGGGAGCTGTAGCCGGTGGTGTAGCAGGATTCGGTTGCAGGCCCTGATGCAGAGCTCCGGAAACATCGACGACAACATTCGGGAGTGCTTGCAGCGACAGGCGGCGGTCACACAGATCGACCAGGAACGGCTGAACCAGTGCCTCGGACAGAATGCCAGGACAGTGTCCTCCCGATCATGGCAGCTGCGTCCTTGGAAGTCTTTATGCCATGCCAGAAGTAGGGAAGGGCAGGTATCGGCGTGGTGGGGGCACGGTAAGACAGAGAAGGTGCTCCTTCCTGATCCTTGAGGTCTTGCAGATGAACATAGGGCGCGCTCAAAAAGCCGGCAATCAGCAGCTGGACTGTCTCGTCGATCTCGACCCGGGTTTGTCCCCCTTTTCTCCTAACTCTTTGCCGACTTGAAGTGTCCGCCTGCGCAGGAAAAAGCTCTGACGTACCTGTACAATATCATGAACCAGGAAATCGAGTCGAAGGTACGTGGCGCATGCATTGCGAGAGAGAGAGAGAGAGAGAGACAGCCCACGCGGGCGAAAGAAAGCGCCCACGCGGGCGGTCAACCCTCTTGTCACTAGCCCTGGCGAAAGAAAAGAGATAGATAGAGAGAACGGACGAGGCCCCCATGATGGGGTGCAAGTTCGTCTCCTAACAGCATACTTAATAGGCTGTTATATTGAAAGACAGAGAGATCTGGCCCGCAGGAGTGTTACCTTAGCTTCCTTCGTGTTCCATAGGCTTGCTACTTGTGTGTCTGCGCTCCTTTTGCACACATGGGTCCCAACGAGCCAAATCCTTATGCGAACTCTTCAACGAATATTGAAAGCCTTTTGGTATCCCCTGTCAGTGAAGCCGATGTCAAGCATGGGCAAGATCCGATCGCATGTAATGTGTCGTGCATGCATACTGATTGACATGCTTTAAGTAGAGCAGAGAGAGTCCTCAGTTTCAACTCAGAAAGCCCCAGCTGATCGGTTCACAGGCCGGGGGGAGCCTGACAGAGAGAGTTTGGCATACGCTTTCCGCAACACGTGACTGACGGCAAGCAGAGGCCAACTATTCAAAAGCAAATGATCATACCAACGCCTTGCCAAGCTCAGCGAGGAGTGGCGGACCCCACGCAAACCAAAAAAGGGGAGCAAAGCCACACAACAGCAGGCTCGCAGCCAGCACATCCAAAAACACTGCAGAAATCCGTCAGCGAAACGAACGAGAAGCTTGAGGCCCGGATTCCGAGGTGAGCCAACCAGCGTTTCTTGATACTAAAAGACTATGAAGTTGTGAGCCAGGTGCCAATGGTAAATCGTGTGCTTTCTCGCTGCTTAAGCACCGAGGACCGAGAACAGCTGAAGCTTTCAAGAGTGGCTCTGAAAGACATACTGTGAAGAAGACTCACGTGAGGATTCAGATGCGCGAAGGGAGCTTCTTGCAGCGTACTTTGGGGAAACGGCCGGCGAGGTGCCTTTTGCGGCTTCGTTGTGTTTTGTCTGCCAGAATCCAGCTTCGAAGGAGGAAGCCGCCAAGCGGCCAAAGTCGACGGCCAGCGCCATCGTGGGCCTGGTCTCCGAGGCGCGTCTTTAAGGGGCAAAAAAAGGCCTTGGACGGCCTAGCACGGCAACGGAGCGTCAGAACGGCTTCGTCTTCCGAGGCTCAGGCACAGGCGACGCAGCCCGGTCTGGATCTGACAAGCCGGGCCCCAAGCAGCTCACTGCCGCCTCTTCTGCATCCGCTCATCTCTGCTCGTCTTGGCAGGCGCCCTGCAGCGGATCCGGGGAGTTGCACTTGATGTTGGGGTTGTCCTTGGTGAAGTCTTTGATGACAAGGTTCGGTCATGTTGGCATGCAATTCCTGCACAAGATGCCACCTCGCCAGGTTCAGGAGCGGTTCATGGAGGATATTCAACCCCTGTTCGACGCACTTGCCGCGGAAACGAACCATTCTCAGAGGATGCAGATGCAACACTGTTGATCCAACAGGGTCACCTCGAAAAACTGTTCAAGCCGACTTGTCGACATGTCTGAGGTAGGTTCATCGAGCAACGCTCGTGCAGACTCAGGCGGCCCCCATGACCACTTGGCATGTTCCCAGAGCCTCATGCGATCTCACGCGCATGCGTCTGATAACTTCTGATGCCCCTGATTCCAAGATGGCTCGGGCAGGACCGAGTGCAGGCAATTGAGCCTGTTGGAGTAGCTGGTGTAGTTCCTTGGCGGATAAATGGCGTCTGAGAGCCAGGTTACGGACGCGGGTGCCCATGTGCATCTGCCGCCGTCGCTGTGCGAAGCTCTGGTCGCGGCATTCCCCAACAAATCTTCGCAGACTGCGCCTGACTTCGCAGCTATGATCAGTGACTTGCTCGCCTGCGCACCCATGGCGAGCACAAGCACTCCAGCCACAGCTCGTGCGAAGATTTGCCGGAATGGCAGGGCTACTCCAGAGCTCCATGGTGGCCCTGAAGGAGCTTACCAGCGAGATGTCTCAACAGGCCGCTGGAGGTCACTTTCCCAAGACCGCTCGCAGCCGCGAACGAAGCCCAGTGCTTCCCGAGGCACCCCAAAGTGTCAAGAAGCCACTGAACAGATGGCACCAGAAGCTGAAGAGCCTCAAGAGCTGGCGCGACCTGAGAATGCAGAAGCCAAAGCCACCCTGAGCAGGGCGAAGGCAGAGACAATCAAACTTTGGGAGGCCGCCAGGAAGACTTTGGGAGATCCGCGCTGTCGGAGCTTCAGGCAGCAGGATGCCATGCAGCGGACGATGGCAGAAGTCGAGCTTGAGAAGTCCATGCTCGCAGCGTCGTGGAAGTTATTCCGGGTGTTTCGTCATACGTTACTGCATTTTCGGTTGGCCTTGCTTTCTCACACCATACTACTCCTCGAACCCGCTGTCGGCCTTTGCTACTTGAGAATTAATCTCAGGACTCTCTGGACAAGAAGGAGCTTGGAGAGATCACTCGCATGGCCGCAGGCTGCGTGTCTTGGCTGTTCTAATGTAAGTTTGAGGATGATTCCCTAGTTTCGCTTGCAAAGTGGGACCTAACCTGAGGAGGGTGGTCGAGCTTTGTCTGTTGGTGTGGCCCGTCACCTCTTCGAGAATGTGGGTTCATCCGGCCGAAGCAGCAGCAGGGGTGGTAAGCCAAGGGCCAAGAGGTCTTCTGCTGCTTTGCCTCCTCGACCCAAGACTGAGCATGAGGGTGCAGAAAGGACACAAGAAAAGCCGGAGAAGATGAGTGCACGGGCTGAGTCTCCTTCAGTTCGCCATCGAATTGGTGCATGGGAGATTTCGCAAGCTGCCCCTTTTGGTGGGGCATAGACCCACGGTCGGACGAGCTACTCCGACAACCTCGGCCACGAAAGGCTTGAAGAGTGCAGCTTCAGGTCACAAATTAACAATTCAATGCCTGCACGTGCAGCAAATATCTTCTGCTGGTGGACCGCGCATGCCCAGTGACCTAGCCTACTGTGCGCCGACCAGAACCGCCATCCAAAATAAAACGTGCCTGGCTGAGCATCTGCCAGACCCATGCGTGTGCTCGTGTCGCCGCCCAGATCCGGCTGCCAGGCATGCGCCCAACAGGCCCCTCGCAGCCGTCTCAGGGTGGAGCACCGCCACGCTTGCCTTCTCTGGTGCATGACAGTTTTGTTTGCTTCCGTGTCAGGTTGTGCTCTACCTTAGGCCTTAAGCTTGGTTTTGCGAAAAGTCCGTTCGACGTTCCACGACGTTGATTCGCATCTTGATTCGTTTGATTCTACCCCACGTCACGCGCTGACATGACATGCTCAAGCTTTCGAAGAGTGCAGGGCCCTCGGCCCAGGCCGGGGCAGCTAAAAGCTGCCCTGCCGCCATGAGCGATGTACCGAAGATGTTGGAGACGTTCTCTGCCATCGAGGAAGAGTTGCAGCGATCCTTCCAATCAATGAACAGCGTGAGTGAGCAGGTCCAGTGTCTGCGAGACGCAGTGGAGACCCTCGATTCGCGAGATGCCACAGAAACCCAGACAACCACGCCAAGACAGCGTCGCGTGTCCGTCCGAGGATCCAGCCCCATTAGCCCTAAGTCGAGGGTGCTGCAAGAGCCACCCGCTCTTGTGATTCACCGGCACGCCAAGGCACAGAAACAGCAGGGCTCGGTATCCAAGACGGTTACAGCTGCTGCATCAACAAAGGCTACAGATGCCGGTGGTACCCAGCTGCGCCTGCACGGGCGCTGGATGGACTTGGCCACCCAAAGTGCCGAGGGTCCAACCAAAGACACTCGGAAAAAAGTTACGCATCGCTTGAGCCAGATCGGTGGCATGGGCTCGGAGCAATCTCTTGCCAAGCCACAATCCGTCGAACCCTTGCACCCACATGGTGCATTCAGGATTTTCTGGGATATGATAGCTATGATACTGATATTTTGTGACACAATTATGCTGCCGCTTGCACTAGCATGGGAAGAGGACATGAGCTCTGCAAACTTCTTCAGCAACATGCTGTATGTGAACTTTGTCATCAGTTTGTCCTTCTGGACTGCAGACTTGCTTGTCAACCTGAATACTGCGACATACCGCAAGGGTACGCTGGTAACCCAGCGGTTTGCCATATTCAAGAGCTACTTGCGTGGGTGGCTGTTGTTCGACATTCTGCTGCTCGGATTTGACGTCATGTATGTCACATCGGAAGCGGGCGTGTCCTCAGAGTTCCGTCTGGTTCGTGTGACGAGGATTTTACGCTTGTTGAGACTTTTGCGCATGCTCAAGCTCACAAGACTAAATGCGATCATTGAAGAGACCGCGGCCAACAGCGGCAAGCAGTGGGTCACAGTTGTCATCGCAATCACGAACACAGCCTTGGGAATGATTTTCATTGCCCACTTGCTGACCTGCATGTGGTACGGGGTTGGGCGGGCGGTCGAAATCGACAACTTCGACAACCCCACTGGCATACAAAGCTGGACTGTGCGAGCAGGTGCGAAAGTGCATGAAATAGAGCCCTATATTCAGTATCTCCATGCTATGCGATGGATCGTGAACACGCCCTCGCCGCCTGACATCGATCCCGGAAGTGCGACTGAGAGGATATTCGACATCCTCGTGTCCATATTCTACTTGCTTGTCATGGGTTCTGCAATTTCAAAGATCTCGGGCACGATCGCAGAGTTGAGAGCGATGAACGAAGCCAGAGATCGCCGGCGCAGAGAGGTGCGACAATACCTTAGCCATCAGCATGTATCCTTTGAGCTCGTGTCTCGAATCATGCGCTTCGTGGACTACCGGCTTGAGAAGTTTTCGGCCACAAATCTGGATACCTCCTTGATCTCCCCCACTTTACAGTTGGAGCTGTACGTGGGCCAGAGGAGCAGCTATATCCTGGAGATGCCGATCTTCAAGCTGCTACAGGAGTGCTATCACGACGTCTTCGGCAGTGTTTGCGCAGCTTTGGAGAAACACGTCTACGAAAAGGGTGAAAACATCTTTGTGGCCGGTTCCTGGACCTCCTGCCTATACATCACGGCCACCGGCAATTACAGCTATGTTGAAGGCCTGAGCTGCATCGGAAACCACGTCTGCAACATCCATACCGCCTTACATGCTAGGTCGACAGCAATTGTCGGCCAATGCCCCTGTCTCGTGATAATCTTCTCGCTACCTTCTCGTGTCTTGCCCCAAGTTTTGATCGGGTTGTGACTTGCAGGCTACGACGCGGAAGGTGAGGCAGCAGAGTTCAATGGTACCAGGTGGTTTGGAGAACTCTCGCTTTACACCGAAGGTAGCTTACATCAGCCGTTGCCCCAGGCGCAGTGACACTCCTCACATCTTTCCGATGAGTCGCTTGATCAGGTCAACTCTTGCTGCCGCGAGTTTCGCGGAGACCTTTACCTTGACCGGGCCTGCCTTGGCAGACTGCGTGAAGCAATCCCGTGGTTGCAACATGGCCGCTTCAGCGTTGCAGAGAGGAGGAGGCTTTTGAGGTCAATGCTGTGCATGCAGGCATACTCAGTGACCTAAAGCTGCCGAGGCATGGCTATGTTCTGTGACTTTGCCAAGGACTACACGGGGATATATGAGGGGGGGGGGCTCATGTCACGAGATTGCTGTAAAGTAGCCAAGCCACATCGAGGCTTAGATGAGACTGCTGTTGCCAAGAAGATTGAACACACCGGTCGAGTTGGTGGGTTTGTAGCTCGCCTCGCAGGACTTTGTCACTGCAATGCAGGGCAGCAAGACCAAGTGCGGAGATCAGGAACAAGTCTACTGGGCAGAGGAGTGCTGCAAGAGGAACCAGCACTACCAGGAACTGTACCCAGACCCGAAGACTCGATTCAAGAACATCACCATCCCCTTGAAGCTGAAGCGCAGTGGGAGCACGAGTGCCTCAGGAGAGGAGGGCGTCAGCTCTAAGGGCTCCCTCACTTTGCCAAAGCCTCGCTTCTCCAAGAGCTCCAGGAACTCCAAAGGCTCCCAGGGCTCCATCAAAGCCGTCGCGTTTGATTCCGATGCAGACAAGAGCCCCGGCCTGGACTTCGAGCCGGTGCAATCCGTGACCAGCTTGTACACGCGCTTCAGCGAAGGATCCGCTGAAGTGATCAATCCAGGCTTGGAGTCCTACCTGAAGAGCTTAGATGGGGAGAAGATGGAGACCTACAAGCTCATCGATGATCTGCAGACGATCTTGCCAGAGTTGCACTCTGAGCACAGCCCGCACGTTGTCTTTGAGCAAGCCGCCGAGCGCGAGAGGGCCGAGTCGGCTTGTATCAGTATCTTGGCATTGTACAAGGATCGCTACGACATCTTCACGCAACCCCAGGCTCCTCCTGTAAGGATGCAGGAGGAGCAGTGGATAGAACTTCAGAGGCTCATCTGCTGGATCGATACTTGGCCGAGAAGAGAGCTTTTCTAAATCGCTCTATGCGGAACCAGGGCTCGGTGTTTGTGGGTGGTCTTCTGTGATGGGCAGCTGCCAGCAAGTCAGGAGCCAGACGTAGAGCGAATCCATGCAGCATTGGCCACAACCTCAGCCATGCACGACGAATCAACTCAGATTCCTTCGAGATGTCTCTGAACGGCCAGGTGTTGCTGGCCATTCGGGCGCTTGGGAAGTCGAAAGCCGTGCTCCAGCAGATGCCACGGCCCGCGCGTCGCCCAGAGAGGGCGGTGCTCCAGCTCATGGAGAGTGCCCCGGCCTGGCTCTGCAAGTGCAGCGTGCAGGAGTTTTTCAGGGTTTTGGCGTTAGGGCCGTTAGGTCTACGGTTTAGGGATGTCTGATTGAAGCCTCATGAGGTGAACGGAATGTGGTTCCATCAGTGCTGTGGCTATCCGAACGGGCGGAGCACTTGCCTCAGTACTGACGCATGAAGCCTTCTCGAAACATTTCGCCACAGGAAACGCTTCACGAAATCTAGAGGCCACAGGCCACACTGTTCACAGCGTCACCATGCTCAGATAGGGTGGTCTGTGTTGTTCAAAGTCTACAGTTTGGATGTTGCTATTTCTATGTCGGCTTGCTCCTCTTCTCATGGTACATGGTACCTTGCGCGCTAGGACCTGTCAGGAACTTCGAACTGTGCTTCATACTCTGCTGTCGCCGAGACGTCCCCACAAGTGCCGGATGCAGCAACTGCCAAGGAAATATATTGAAAATGCTCTGGAGATCCATGAGCTCTTCAACTTGGCCCAGATGTTGCAGGGCGAGAACCTGCCCGCAAACATAGGAGAGTTGCGCCGCTGCATCGAAGAGAAAGGTACTTGACCCAGATTTTCTGGAGATCCAAAAGCTCACCCAGTGGAGTGACATCGGGCTCTTCCCAGTAGCATATTCGTGCATGTCGGCCTGAGGTGAAGACATGTTCCGATTCTACATCTTATTCTTGCTTGGCTTTATGAGTGGCATTGCTGCCGGGACTGGTTCGCGGTTCATGAATGGCAAGATGCTTGGCCCAACAAAAGCAGCGGAAGTGTTCTTGGCGTTCACATCCCAGCTTGTAGGGTGTCGAGAGCCTCCCCTGATGACCTCGACCGTCCCATTTCGCTGCTTTGAGGAATGCATCTGCAGTAATCAGTGGCATTCGCCTGCTGCAGCGGCTGATGGAGGTTTCCCCCCAAGCAATTTATTGGGGATACCTGGAAGAGAGGGCAGAGAAGCTGCGCCTGAATTTCTATACGGCGGAGGACAGTCTGCTACTCTGCTACTCTTCAGCCGCTGACACTTGCAAGTCTTATATGCAGAAGTGTAAGCTGGGAGGACCTCGTGCTCGTCCGCTTATCCTGCCTGGCACGGGTTCAGGAGGAGAAGGATTATTTGCAGCTCCGGGCAGCGTGGGATGCACTGAAGGCGCGCGAGCGGGCAGCATTGACCGATCATTTCCTGGCAGATGGCATCGAGGCAAGCTGTTTGTGCTAGGAAGCGTCCTCGTGCGACCGTTTGCAGCCCCTCCTTGTGCATAGCGGGTCTATGTGCAGCCCACAGGAACAGGCATTCATCCTCGAGTTCTTGCCAAACTGTGTTGCCAATTCAAAGGCCCACGGAGCGCTGATAAAGCTTTGTACACATAGAATCATCAAGTCTATGTGCCAGGCAAACAACACCGTTGGATTGACCGGTCTGCTGGGAGTCTTGGTAGACTTGCTCAACAACCTTCGCCTGAGTATGGACTCGATGCCGGACATGGTCCACGCCTTTGTTTCCACCAGTCAGCTCTTCGTGTCTTGTGGAAACTGCTCCGTTGATACCAAGGAGAAAGTCATTCCAGTAGACCTGTCTGAAATGGCGGAGTTCATTGCCGTTGTGCAGAACCGATTCGTTTTCTTAACTTGCGTGTCGAGATGTCAGCTTCAGTTCATTGGGCAGACCCTCAGTTTGCAAGAGAGTTTGATTTCGAAAGACGGACGTTCCACTACCTTGTGTGGGTTTGCCCCTCGCCTCCTCCCATGCATTGTGCCACAAGGAGAGTCCATTTGAAGATGACCGGAGGACACCCTGAGCGAGCTTATCTGCGTGTTGCTTAAGAGAGTGAGTCTGAAGAAATGCGTCTTCCTTTTGTGAGGAAACTGGGGCCGGACCACGGACCCGGATTCAGACATGACAAGCTTGGCATACACTCTACAGGACCCTTGGGCATGTCAGAAGGCCGAAAGCAGGAACGCCGGCCCTCTGTTCTCTTGCGCAGGATATCCTTCAGAAGCAGGAGGTCCTGGAAGCAGCTCAGCCGATGCTTAAGGGTTGTTGTTAACGCGGCGCGAAGTGCACGGACCCTTGAAATGCTGACGCTGCGCACAACAGTTCCAGACCTCCTGAGGCTTATATTATGCCGCTTACCTTCGTTTTGGTCTGCGCATGTCTGTCTTGGCATGAGATCAAACGATGCCTTTGCTATCATGCGCTGAACTTAGGCGTCGCGAAGAAGAAGGAGCCAAACGCCCCAAGCGTTCGTCGATATCGCTGGTGCGGGATCATAGTTGGAGTTCGGAGATGGTGAGACAGGAGGCGTTTTGAAAAGGCTGAAAGCCTGAATACCACAACTCAGCTTTAAAAATAAGAAAGGGGGACGACATCGTTGTGCCATTGGCAAACATCGACAAGATGCGGGACAGCTGCCCAAACTTGGATGCCCCTGGTGGCAAAATTACATAAAGTGGCCGCAGAGAAGCAACGAAGTCTTCTCCCCAAGGCTGAGGCACGTGCACTTCAGCAAGACGCCAGGGCTTTTCTCTGGCAGAACGGAGGGAAGTCTTGTGCTGTCGGTCGGCCCATGTGACCTGCAATTGTTCTAGTCTGATGTTTGTCATACCATATGCATCTTCATCGGTGTTCCTGTATCACGGGCCATCAGAAGTTCTAACAATCTAACTGTTTTTTTTAACGCTTGCACTGGTAGCAATCAATCACTGCATGTCGTGGACTCTCAAACGAGAGCCACTGCTCGCTGCTATCCGACTGTCGAGGCCCTTGATGCCCTGGTGTGAGCCTGCGACTAGGGTGAAGTTCAAGCGGTTGGGGCCCATGAGACCCGTAGATCTGCTCGTCAAGAGGTCGCAGAGCACACTCCAGAGCGCTCTCAGAGAGTTCGGTGCCTTGAAAAGCACCCTTCGCTTAGCATTGATTGTAGCAAGCCGGCCCCTATCTCGGCGTTCTGCATCTTCATTAGTCGCCGACGAATGCAGACTTCTGATGCTGTGTTTTCTCGTGGGGATGGCTGCTCACTTTTGCCCGTCTCAGCTGACACCCAATCAGACCGCATGCAACCTGCAAAACATTGGACCCACGGCACTCAATTTCGAGACTCCGTGCGAAATTGCCATGCTTTCACTGTAGGACTTCAGCTGTGCAACATGTTTCATGTTAGGGCAGATGCGCAAATCTGAACAGCACTATTTGCCCAGAGAAAGATTGAACCCGCTGCGCTGATGCCAGGCTGGACGATCTCTTTGGACGCGTAGGATCCCGGCTTGCCGAGTAAAATGGTGCGACCAAGTTATATACTCTTGCTTCATGGCTTCCGTTTCATACATACATACACACACACACACACACATATATATATATATAAACACATACGTATGCACCCACATCTCCGCCATGCAGGTGAGACGGATGCTTCTTGAGCTGTCGGCCCAAACCACAGCCACAATCTCAAACCTTCTGCTGCCACGGTTGCCTGGCCATGGCGCTGGCTCTATGGACGGGAGGCATGGGAATGCCAATATGTCCCGTACGGCATGCAGTGCAGCCTACAACGCAGGAAACAGCCAGCATGGGTATAACGAAGTTCAGAAGATCAATAAGCACGCGACCAAGTTACAGGACGTGAGCATGCCTTATTTGACGGGCAAGCCCCACACTATTGCTCCGGAATTGAGGCGTGTTAACTGGCTGAACAGCAACGTCTTCCCTGATCGGCAGATCGACCAGGAGGTGCTACCAAGTGTCAAGTCAAAGTTTCTGCATGCTTGTGACTGTACCGAAGCGACCAAAGTAACAGGCGCCGCAATGAGCACACTTCGCTTCCTCGGCGGCTTGCGTAGCAGCGACACCTAACTGTCTTGAGCGTCTGTTCCTGAAGACAGAGTTGCAGCAAATCCAATAGCATTCCTTCAAAAGTCGACATTGACTGTCACAATGCCACAATGCATCCTCGACCGTCAGAAATCAAGTCTTTCTAGCCAGTCAATCTTGAAAGTGCCGGAGATCCAGACGTACCGACTTCGATGTGTGCTGTCTAGCCGCTGGCCACGGTTTCGGGGGCCCCGGACCCCTACGCAAACTATCGCGATCCTTCGTTCACCGACGTCCTGACGCGTCCATTGAATATGTAGAGGGACGGGGATGCGCGCGCATGATGCCTGGTGGACTTTGGTCCACACGATGCCAGTAGGCCCCGAAACGGATCGTTGAGGCCATAGGCGCCTTGTGCCACCTGGGCGTGGCACGGTCAATGGAGATGCTCAAGGACAGAAGTTTTGGACATCTTCTTTGGTATGCTGCACGGAGTTGGTGAAGGAGATGGAAGAAAAGGCAGAACAGATCAAGACTCCCAGCAACTACATCAAGGCCGTGATGCACCGTTTTGCCTGCATGCTCGGCAGTGGGGCTGATACCTTTCTAGTTGTCTCAACCACAGACAGGCCGCAGCCGGGCGAGAAGCAGCACCTGCAGCGCCTCGTCAGTTTCGATGTTGACCGCGTCACTGTCGAGAAGTGCCCAAACAGGCTGCGGGCCACTCAAATGATCCAGCGAAGATTCACCGAAGAGCAACTTGGCTGAGCACCAACGTCTTCCAGGACTGCTGCATTCCAAAGTCTTATCACGTATATAGTATCCTTGTGGCAGCCGACATGATTTGAAGCAGGATCGGCCAATCGATCAAGAGGCGCAGTGGAGGCGACAACTCCGCACGTTCTGCCGTCGTCTTCTCTGCGAGGCTGTGCTCGCCATGAAGAGCCTTGACACCAGACGGGCCCTGGAATTGTTCAAGGAGATTGAGGTACCTTGGCCCCGTGCACGTGTTGTTCTTTCGCATCAGCGTCGAATGAAGCTCTGTGCCGAGGAGAAGAAAGATCAGATAAAGAACCCCAGCAGATGGCTCATCTCTGCTGTTTCGCGGGAAACTTCCGGGGTCTACCCGGAACAGCCCAGTGCCAGGGCACTGACAATGCCGGCTGTCTATGCACCACCAGCGAGGGCAATGCACGGACCTGCCGGAGCAGCCATGTCAAGTGCCGACACTAAGATCCACCGTAGAGCCTCTTGGTTGAACGGGAACGTCTTTCCGGACCGTCCTATCGATGAAGAGGCAGACGGGAAAGGGAAAAGCTAAATGCCTGCTAGCGGCCACTAAAACGAACAATGCACAGTACCCCTCTGCGTTTGATCTGCTTTTTCACAGCCGTGGAGGCCATCGTCGCCATGCAGGGTCTCGGTGGAGCCAGGGCCATGGAGCTGTTTAAGGAAGTCGAGGAGAAGTTCGAGCAAATCCGGAACCCAAGTTCCTATCTGAAGACAGCGGCGGCTCGAGAGAACCCTTCCGTCCAGGGCCGCGGCATGCCTCAAACGGCCCTCGCCCTGGCTCCGTTCCCGTCGCGCAGACCGGACGCGGACCCGGCCACGAAGATTCATCGCAGGGCGAGCTGGTTGAACGCAAACGTCTTCCCTAACCGCCACATCGATCCGGAGGCCTGGGGGAAATTCTCTTACCTGCGTGCTTGGTCCTGAGTTTCGTGAAGGCGATCGAAGCCATGAAGACCTTGGACTCTGGGCGCGCCATGGAGCTTTTCAAGGCCTTGACCCCAAACGTCTCATTTCACTTCGTTTCTGAGACATTTATTGACTGGGCAGGAGGTTGAAGAGAAAAGTGGGCAGGTAAAGAATCCGAGCGGCTATCTGAAGAGCGCAGTTGCGCGGGAAGGGTCTGGAATGCTACAGAATCTGCCAGCATCTCCTAGGGTGGGCACAGTGGGCACCTCACCATTCGTGGATTTCGTGTGGGATGCTGTCTCACCAGTTTCGCTCTCTTCGCCTCAAGGTTACCAGGCTGAGTGGCCCCGCGTCGCCAGAGGAACAGACGAAGATACACAGGAGAGTAACTTGGATGCCCCTTGGCTGCAAGTGCGAAGGTTGCCGGCTGCAGAAGCTTCAGTGCGTGAGTACAGAAGGCTTGGCTTGTCGTCTGCCTGAGTTGGGGTCACAAGCACGGCTCGTGCGTGAGCTGTGGCTCCTTGTGGTGCAGAGGAATGCCAACGTTTTTCCCGATCGGAAGATTGACGATGAGGCTTTTGGCACTGGACAGTTGGTGCTGGGTTGAGATGAAATATTGAACGGGTGAGACGATGTGCTGAAATTGTCTGAGAACTGATTGTTCCGTGGTCTAGTCTAGCGCCTAGTCAACGATCGCAGGCCATTGGGGCCATGTATGGCTTGGGCCTAGCGCGGGCCATGGAGCTCCTCCAGGACAGGATGAGCTATGAGCAGAAGACGGGTGCACGACGATGTGTGAAGGAGATACAGGAGAAATCCGACAGTATGCGGACACTCGGATGCAATCTTTCCTTAGCCTTAGCCTTAACGCAGCAGGTCGTGTTTGTTGACGCCTGCTGACGCCAGGAATCCAGCTAATTGGCTGAAGGCCGCTGCTTCTCGGGAGGGTCTGGCTCCACCTGCGCAAAGCATGGCACCTCGGCTGGCCGTGTCTGTCACCAGGCCATGAAGACCTGAACACGCTGCCTCCTCGTGTGTTTGATGACAAGCTCACCTAAGGCGCCGTCTCCTATGAGCTTTCATCAGCCTGGCAACGGCAAGGCCACACAGTGCTTTCTAGAATCTGCGAGCCAACACGAATCCGGGAAGGTAGCCGAGCAATTAAGAACATGCAGCAACTTCATCCTGCAAGATCCTGCAAGCATTCTTCACCCTGTTTTGGTGAGAGAGTCTGAGAGAGTACAAACGCACCGCGGTGTTCGTGAGGTTTGGGCATTTATGAAGTGGTAACAAAGTAGGCGCATCCCAGGGCGAAGGAACGCATGTTGCCTGAAGGGGCTTCTGGGTAGGCCCCCGAAAAAGTGGAGTAGCAGCTTGCTACGACATTTTGACCGGATTGCGAGTGAGTTGAGCATCAGCCGTCCGCAACTCACTGTCTTGCGGCCTTGCGCCAGGGTGGTCGTCAAACACCGGACTACTCGACCTACGACAAGCTGCACAGGCGTGGCATGAAACAGAGCCTGCTCAGCAGGCTCAGCTGTTTGGTTGACTGACGGACGCAGGCGGATAAAATGGTTAAACAACAACGCCCGGGCCCAGACTTGCTGCCAGACATGGAGCTTGTCATTTTCGGAGCATTGATCGCTCGTCCCGTTGTGACGATGTTTCTATCTTAGCAGCATGGCCACAGGATCTTTGCAAGGCTTTCAGAGTAGCATCTGAAGCCCTAATATAGAAGCCTAAATAATTACCTGTACTGGTTTGGGGGTTCCTTATTCTAGTAGAATATACCCCAATATCCTATTCTAACTGTTAAGACCCCTGCCAAGCCATCCCACCATCTAAGACATCCCTCACTCTGTGGAGCGACTTTCCAAGTCCCAATCAGCACAAACGCGAGATGTTCTCAAAGCCGCCCTGCAGAGGTGATAGACTCAGTAGACTTTCGTTACAACAATTTCAGCCAGCCCCCTGTCAGATTTTACACGTTGGCAGCGAAACGCAGCGAACTGGCAAGAACTTACACTTGGCAGCTCAACTTCGTACCGCGCACGCTCGAGTGAGGTCTTCGTCCACAGTCCTCTCGATGCAGAAACAACTGAGGCCCAGCATTCAACAGATGCGTCAAAGGATCAGTTGCATCTTCGCAGGCGCTGGCGTCTTTATCGCTGCAGAGAGCGCTGGAGATGTTAAAGGAGCTCGAGGGCAAAGGCTCCGAGGCCCAACGTCACACTGGATTTCCAGATTGTGTGTGTGTGTACGCACAGAATCTTCTCTGATTCGTGGCTTGCGGAGTCCGGTGTATGTGGGATGTTGATTCTTGCCATAAGTGTGTCTTGGATGCCTAGTGTTCGTCAAACAGATGGCGGAGAGACGTTCAATCGCATCCATTGCTGTGGTCAGGTGAAAAACCCCTCAAACTATATGAAGGCCAGATGCTGCCAATGCTCCTTCGCTTCCGACATGTCTGCGCTTTCCGATATTCTAGCCGAATTTCATGTGAAGCAAACAAGAGACAGGTTCATGTACATGTTCTATTGAACCAAAAAGTTAGAGGCAGGTGCAAGTTGTGTAGGAAGTTCTGCAGGCCGCCGTCAGCCGAGAACAGTCAGGCTGATCCCTGAGATTCTGACGACAAGCCGCAGGAATTGTAGTCAGTGGTGACTGGGTTTGCGTGCAAGGTTATGGGGGTGTTGGTGTGAAGCGATATCTACCCGGCGGTGAAAGCCAGACACTCAGTCTGTTTGAAGGCTTTCTGTGGAAGCGCTGCTTAGCATCTTTCGGATTGCCGGTGGGAGCATAAGGCCCAGCTGCAAAGCGAAGGTAGCCAGAGTGAGGGCCTGCGGCCCCTTTATTATTGGCCGCTCCGAGTTTCCCGACAGCGCGAGTCGCAATACGCTTTCATGGGTTCTGCCAGGCTGGTACATGCTCTCAGATGTAGACATGTGAGATTCTGCCAAAGCTGAATCGGCTCCAGTTGATGCCGCTACGCTCACCCACCATATCCTGAAGCCACTTCTGCGCATCTGTCACCATTGCCTCGCCCAGGGTTTCGGTTTCTGGTCCTTCACAATACAGCCCAAGCCCCCCAAGTTCGACTAATGAGCCTTGCTGCGGCACAAAGTGTTTCCCGAGCGCCCAGCCTACAAATACTGACCCCCGAAGCTGCATTCTCATGTCAATCTGCTACAACCCGATGCTCCAAGCCATTGCTTCTTGCAAATTTGGGATGCCACACCGAACATGGATTCAGGCTCAAGCTTCCGATGATGTTCATACCACTCATGAACAGTTCCGCGGTGTCTGCCCAGCGATGTACGAATCAGCCAGAAAGCGTGCTTTCGTCTCGCGCAGGTTGTTCATCTGCAGTCAGGGCTGGGTGCTTGGGCTGGTGAACGAAATCCTGCTGAAAACTATGAGCTTTCAGGCGATTGGTCCAGAACTTCCAGTCGGCGAGAAGAAAGAGAAGACCAACAGTCCAAGCAACATGAGCGCGTGTAGCAAACCGGCTTTTAATCGCTCGATTGCCTGCGCATAGCAGGACGGCGGGCAGCAAGCGGTCGGTCCGATGCTGAGCGCAAAGGTTTGGCAATCAGACGGCTTCATCACGAAAGCTCCCTCTAGGAAGCTTGAGTTTAATACCCAGCTTTGCTGCTTGAAGAGCTACCTCTGTTTTTTGGGAGGGAATCCTCAAGCCTTGGCTGGATTGGAGGAGGCCCCCCGCTCGACCCTTTTTGGGGTGATTTCGGGAAGGTTGGGGAAGGTCCGGGGAGGGGTCTATTTGGAGAAACAGGACCCCCATGATGCTCATGATGCTCGTCCTGGCTGGTCTAGGGGGTGACCGGGGGGGGGGGGGCAAGGGGCCGTGAAGACGGCGGTTCCAGTCTTCTAGAACGCCTGAAGGGCTCGTTCCTTCAAATTCAGACAAGAGATTTGAAAATTTTCTGTTGGTTGTGTGCGAGATGCTTCATGCAAGGCCTCATTGTCATCACATCCTTCAGCTACTCTATGCAAGACCCCTGACACTTCAAACGAAACCTTTAGAAATGGAACACAAGACCTGGAAGTCCAGGTCTTGGCCAGGACCTGGAAGTCCAGGTCCTGGGTGTAGGCATGCAAATAGTCGATGTAAAACTCGGACCACTTCACACACCCAGATAAATATCAACCCTAGATATAAACCCGTTTTACCTTCGTTCCCTAAGCCCTTTTTATCGCCTCAAGCCTAAACTGGGCCTAAACCCCGTCGTCTGCCCCTTGCCACATGTGTCGAGCTGGCCGAATCATAGTGGAATGAAAGGACAAAAGCTAGGCCTCTGTCTTGACTGCTCCGCAGCCTCCGCCTTGGTCGTGCAGCAGCGAGCTTTCGTCCCCCCCCCCCTTGGGGCGCAAGTCTTGTTGGCTGGAGGCATCTGCCGCTTTGTTCGTGCCACCGAAGAAGCAGACACGAGGTGCAATGTTCATGATCACCTCCGCTACTCAAGAAACGTTTTGTTGCGGCAGGCAATGAGACGCGACTTGAGCCTCAGGGGCTTACGGGCTCATGGTCGGTGACGGTACAGCGTTCGGTGCTCGAGCTCCTTTTTCCTTTGAGTCTTTGAGCCAGGAGATCCAAGTTGATTTAAGGTCCTTTTACGACTTTTCAGCCCACCACCGAGCTAGACGGCCGTTTGGCCGTCAGAGCTGTGCCTGTGCTGTGCAGGTGTTGAATAGTTTGGCAAGTCAGGTACACCTTCGCCCAGTCTGAAGACAACATGGCCCGAGTCTGAGACATTTGGCTGGTTTAAAAGCAAACACTCTTTGAGCGATCTATTTTGGGATAGTTGCTCGTTGGACGCGGTGCCTCGGTTGTCTTCTGGCACCGGAGTTGCCAACGGTGGTTCAATTCGGACGCCTGCCGGTTCAGGTGGTTGTTCGCACTTTCTGTGTCGGTTGCTTGTGTCAAGACGTCTTGTAAGCATGTGGGAGCAACCACCAGCGCCACCTCTTGCGGCTTCACCTATTACTGGGGACTGTCCAGAAGTCTCAAGCGACGTAAAGAATAGTAGCATGCGCGAAGATCAGGCGAAGAAGACTATATTGTTGCGCACTGAATGAGGTCTCTGGTACCGGTTCGTTACTGGGAGATGCTCCACGAGCGAGCAAGGCCAAACAGTCCAGCAGATCTCGCATCGGTCGTGTCGCTCAGTACGTGTTGTACCAGGTCATCGGCCATGTACAGGGCTATGTATTCACATGGAATGAGGCCGGAATGAAGTTTTAAGTTATCGCGATGATCGGAGTTTTGTCTGGCGCGCCATGCTGTCGCAAGTCAGTATGCTTCCAACGAAGCTTGGGTCTGCTGCGGGTTCTCGCAATGCACGGCCGCGAAGCTGCCCTGGGCTCTTACAAAGATGTAGGGTAGATGCAGCAGGCATGACCCATGATCCTTCGAGCCCTGGCACCTTGCCTACATCTCAAGTGTCGATGTTCGTCAGACAATGGGAGTTCGCTGAGGTGCTGTGCACCGCGCTTCGCTTCCTTCGCTGGGGGCTAGCCTGTGAAGCTTGGCGTGCGGAGCTCTGGCGGCGGCAGCGTGAGGCTGGAGAGAGAACAGCTGTTGCCAGCGCGGAATGTCGTCCAATCTGTGGTGCGACTGCGGCGAGGAGCATGGTGAAGCGAATTTCGAGGCCTTTGATGCAGATGCACGAGGCCATGATGTCTTCATGTCGAAAGCCCGTTGCTCGATTCTGCTAGATCTTGCCTTGTGCTATGTCTTGGGGCTCCAGCTTCCGGCCAGGAGACCAGGTTCACAAAGCTTTCCTCAAAGTGGAAGGCCGACAGGTGGTAGTGGTGGTCGGCCTTGGCGCCGTGACTGGCAATGCCGTCGACCCTGTTCACCCCATGGGGAGACTCGGCTGGATTTGATGGAATGTTTTTTTTTGAGATGCACTTACTCGACTGGACCGGCAAGGTATTTGGATGACCCACTTCTCCTTCACTGGGTTGACACCGTGTGGATAGAAGACGAAGCCGGCGAAATTCTTTGTATGCGCCGGTTGGATCCTGACGAGACGGAGCCAGCCATGCTTGTATGCTCCGTCCCCCATGGCACTGCTACGGTGACAGGCTTCGTGCATTGCAACATTCACGGGATGTTTCGAGGACAGACAGTACGGCTCGATCCCATGCAGGCAGTGCAAGGCTTGCAACCTAGCTGCAGCCTTGCATCCTGTGCGCAATTCACGGACGAGAACTGCAGTGCGAAACGCTGGAGCTACGTCCAATCGCAGAATGCCTCGGCCTCCTCTTCCTCTGCCCTTAGTTCGGAGCATAAGCCGACTCTCACTCTGCATGGCAACGGTTCGGCCGGCTTGGTGGTCGGAGAGAAGTTGGTGAACGGCTCTGTCCTTCTACACCCCATGATCGCATCCAGCGATCCTGATGACATTCACTGGATCACGGTTGTCTGGATAGAAGATGCGGCAGGTAACATCGTTTCCGGCCGCGAGTTTCTTCCAGCTGAGGGCGGTCTCCCTATGCATTCCTTCCTAATCCCGTCTGGTACGACGAAGATGACGCCGTTTGCACGCTGCAGCTTGGCCTTCACTTAGACAAGGCATGACAGCTCCAACCTGTTTCCTGCATTGTCGCTGTTTGAGCCGCACTTGAGGTAACAAGCATGGTGTTTTTCGAGGTGATCAGATCTCAGTACCACATGGGCAGGCATCAGCCGTTTCAGAGCCTTCTTGCCAGAGGACGTACTGTCCGAAAGTTGAGGTGGGGCAACTGCAAAGGCTATTGTTGTAGCTTCTGGACTGAGTGCCCATGGTTCGAAGCTGCAAAGGTGCGTTTCGCAGTCGAACTGGATTGCGAGTCCTTCAAGGCAGACTCACATCGCTGGCATGAAGCCTTGGGCTTTACTCCTCCGTACCATGCTGCAACCAGTGAGCCTTTGGCATGTTTATGGCCTAGCTGACACCCGTGCAAGTAAGACCGACTCGTCCATGCATCTTGAGCAGCGAAGGATGGGCAGAACTCCTTCGAGGACAGGCGAAGTCAAGAGCTAGTCAAGAGCTTGCTCAGAGCACACTGGCTGCGCTGACAGAGAGCATTTCACATACAGACCTATCGTCAAGGATTCAAGAGCGGGGTAGATATGAGGTCGTGTGTAGTCACACTTATCTAGAAAGACGATAATCTAACGACAGTATCTCAGTCGGGCATGCATGCCACATCCAACGCTGAAGTTGTCGGCGTTGGCTACGAGCAGGGCGCACCGGTTCACAATAAAATGTTGTGTGGGCTGCCGGTCTGTGCACTGAGTGCACAGTTCCCCGACCCGACAGTGCCCAACCTCCACACAACAAGCCATTCAGCCATGTCTGCCAGCAGTAGCCAATACATGCCAATACACTTCAGGCGCATTGTCACCTTGGCCTTGGCACCAAATCAGTATATACAAACACGCCCTGACCCAGATCGTGGAGGCACCACCAGGCAGAAGGTGACTCAGCAGTGGCCAAAAGTCCTTGGTTAAGCAAGTTCTGCTCGCGGCATCACAGAGTGATCAGAAGGGCAGGTCCTGGTTTTCTTCTTACGATGGTGCGTTGGCAGGACATGCACAAGCCCCGCATTGAGATGAATGGCACGCGGGGCCTGGTGGTAGTGGGCAGAAATGCTGGCAATGCTGTGGATTCAGATGCAGTCCACCCGATGAACGATCACCCTGACAGCCTGCACTTCATACAGACTCTCTGGGTTGAGGACCAGTCAGGTGCATTGTCGTCAATAGAGCCGTGCCAACTAGTCCAAGTCGAAGGTCAGCAGGCACACACACACACACATTGGCCAAGAGCTTGGAAAGCTTCTACCTTCCCATTCGCGTGAGGTCGCCTGCTGTCTTTGCGACATCTTTCACCTGCTGAGCCGGCTCCAGCGACGAAGCTTCGCAAGTTGTATGCAGTCCTCACTCCTTGTACGGGACAGGGAAAGGAAGCTGGAAGTTCAAGCAGAAGCTCTGCCAGGGGGCAGGGCAGGAACACGGCACGGGGAAGGGATGGGGGGACGGATGCAGCACTTCCCTTTGTACTGAGGCTCAGAGCCTCACTCAACCCTAAGATGCGGTGACCTTCCGAGCCTCAGGAAAACAAACAGCCTGCTGCTAGAAACGCTTTGTGGGTTTCCGGAAACGTGTTCTGCATGGGGAAAGCCTTGGTCAGAGCGTGTTGCTCTAGAGCCTTAGGGCTTGCGCGGTGCATCATCATCCTGGGTCGTGCTGCAGCACCGAAAAGAGGCTACGAACGCCCAACATGCTTCAGGAAGAAATCAGAAACATGAGGCTTCGGAAGCTACGACTCGGCTGACGAACAGAATTGGGTGGATTGGTCTCTTAAGCCTGCAGAGGCTAGGCCCAGAATGCAACGTGTGCCTCCAAGGATGTATTTCGACGTGCCAGAAGGTACCACATCCGTCACTGCGTTTGCAAGTTGTTGCTTGGCTCTATACAGCTTTCTCTTGCTCTTGTTGTCCTCTTGCTACTGCTGATCGGCAAAGAGCTGAGGCAATTTGCACGGACTCTGGAAGGGTGAGACAATGTCAGTGACAGAGACGATGCTCGGAGCGCGTGTTGGTTGCTCCGTGCAGCAGTGCCTGGAAGGGTCTTCTGCAACTCGCCGGCTCGTACGCACGGTTTGCACCTTGCGCTGGCGCTGCGAAGGCATTGCAAGAAGCAACAATGCAGTGAAGCGTCTCGGACTGGAGGTATCGGCATGCCAAGCCTTCACAGCCGAGCTACGGCGCAGACAAGAGGTGCCCCGGTATGATCCGACAGGCCGGCGCGGCGAGCTGCGAGCTCAGACTTGCAGAGCGGTTGTGGGCCAATTTCTCGCCACATGCAGGACTCTCGCCTTCACTAGCCCTGGATGGTAGCAGCGCCACCATAGTGGCTGGCGCCTCAAGATGCTGATCTGCTGACTTTCCAAGTGTAACGACTCTGAAGTCTCCTCGCTCTGCCGGCCGTGTTTTGTTGAAGGCTTATCCTAATTTTCTGCATCTGAGTGTTTGTGACTTGGTCTATGTCTGGTGTCCCGTAAGGGTTTAAGACGGCAGAAATCGCTGCGGTCTCTGGCCCGGGAATCCTTAATTTGGGCTTGGGGGCCTGTGTCTTGTGTCTGCCGTTTCTTCGAGATGAAGCTGAAACTCTACGAGTCAGGCCGTGATCAAACATGTGCTCTACGTGTTCTTTGAGTACGAACTCTTTTTTCACAGTTGACTGCATGAAGGAAAGAGGTCGTCACGACATGAAGCAGCGCCGTCAAGTTCTATATCCCGCGCATCCATAATTTGGGTGCGAACGATCCTCGAGCCACTTTCGGCTTAACCGCCCAGGTACGGAATGGCAATGAGAGCCAGAACCAGCTGCCTCTGACGGCTTCTGGTACCAAAGACATCGTGCACTGGGTGTCTCACGTCTACGCTACAAGGATGCACGAAGTGAGGTGGATCCGGGCCTAAGTTGTATGTTATCTGGGATCTGCCAGATGTTGAGATTGAGCTGCTGTGCAGAGCACGCGGTGCCATGACATCAAGTTTTGTTCTCTGTTAAACTGCCGAAGAAGGTCTATATAGCACTCAACTATGCATGTTTGCAAATGCCAGCTTCCACATGTCTCTCAGGCTTTGGATGATCTGGGCAACCTCGTTGCGCTCTGTGAGCTCCTGCCGACAGACCCATCCCCTGGCCCTTGTGCTTTCGAGGTGTGGGAACCGCATCCTCTTAGTCTTAGTGCTACAGTCCTGTAGTCGGTTTGGTGATGCCTCTGAGTAGACCTTCGCCAGGTTCCGGATGGCATTGTTTTCTTGAGGCCTGTACTCCATGGGATTCGCTGACGATTGATATTCATGTTAGAGTGCAAGGCCGTATGCGTACAGCAACCAGCTCGGCCTCTACATTGGCGATGTTGTGCAGGCCGCCCTCTTCCCTTTGCTGATCTCTTCGAGACGTCTGCTCCTAGACTGGCTCAAAGTGCATCACCTCGAAGTTTCGCTGCCATCCCGTGGAGCAACTCGCGTCTGTCGTATCGAAGGAGTCCCAGCAGAAATCAGTCATGCACATGACGAGCCGCTCCGAGACGGAACCAATGTGAGCAGGGATGCCCTTAAAAGCTGACTCTTGCAACAAACGAGAAGCATAGGTCTCCCAGGGGCAGATCGGCAGCTTAACTTACACTTGAGGTGAGCTCTTTGCATCTTGCTGGACAGGTG